GAGCTGGAGCTGCTGGGGGTACTGGAGCTGCTGGAGCTAGAGGTGCTGCTGGTGCCGGAGCTGCTGGAGGTGCTGGAGCTGCTGGTCCCGGAGGTGCTCGTACTGGAGGTATTGGAGCTGCTGGGGCTGGTGGTACTACAAGAGTTGGAGCTGGAGGCGCTGGAGCTGGTGCTGCTGGAGGTGCTGCTGGAGCTGGAGCTGCTGGAGGTGCTGGAGCTGGTGGTGCTGCGGGAGTTGGAGCTGGAGACCCTGGAGCTAGGGGTACTGGTGCTGTCTCGGCCGTACTACGTTCCGCTCCTTCAGCAGGTTCTTGGCCTCCCGCCTTCGACTGGTCATACTCCTCCCTTACTGAGTCCACCGCCTGACCAGTCGCAGTCGCAGTTACAGCCAGCCTCTCCACTGCCTGGTCCTTCTCCTTACTCTGGGCCGACTAGAGGTCTTACGGAGCGTCGTGAGCCTGAGTCTCGTCCTGCGTCGCCTGAGTCTCGTCCTGAGTCGCCTGTTCGCGCTGTTCGCACTGGTCGTCGTGTTCCGCGTCAGCGTCCTCCTGCTGTTCCAGGCACACACCAGATTGCACTTCGTCCTTCCGCTGCTCCACAGCGTGTCCCTCTGCCGTCTCCTCCTGCGTCCTCTCTTCCTGACGTCCCTGACCCGCCGTCGGACCTTGCTCGTGCTGCCAGTCCTACTGTCACGCGTCTTCTCGCTACTGTTGTCACTGAACCTTCGTTTGAGTCCACTGCTGCGTCTGCCCTAGTTGCTGAGCTTGTTGAATTTGCTGCCGCCTGTCGTCTAGACTACGCCGCTAGTCTTGTTGCTGAGTCTGAGTCTGTCTGTCCTCCGTCCGTCGGGGGTGAGTGTGCTCTTGGCACGGACGTCCTTGAGGACAGACAGGAGGAGTTTGAGTGTTTTGCCGCTGCTTTACCTCATCTCGTATCCATGCTGCTTGCACATGAGGGAGACCCGGATGCACCAGACATCACGACCCCGCGCTCTTACGCAGAGGCGATAGAGGGTCCCTACTCCTCTTAGTGGCAGACAGCCATGGACGCAGAGATGGCTTCCTGGAAGTCCACAGGCACCTACGTCGACGAGGTTCCCCCACTTGGGGCGAACATCGTCAGTGGCATGTGGATTTTCAGGGTGAAGCGGCCGCCGGGTTCTCCGCCTGTCTTCAAGGCGCGTTACGTTGCACGAGGCTTCAGTCAGCGAGAGGGAGTTGACTTCTTCCAGACCTTCTCCCCTACCCCGAAGATGACCACTCTTTGGGTACTGCAGCACGTCGCCGCTAAGCGTGACTACGAGCTTCACTCTCTTGACTTCAGCACAGCCTTCCTACAGGGCAGCCTGCACGAGGAGATCTGGCTGCGCCGCCCACCTGGCTTCACTGGGTCGTTTCCTGCTGGTACCCAGTGGAGCCTCCGGCGGCCAGTCTACGGTCTCCGCCAGGCGCCCCGTGAGTGGCACGACACACTGAGGACGACGCTTGCGGCTCTTGGGTTTGCTCCTTCCACTGCTGACCCGTCGCTGTTTCTACGCACCGACAGTTCTCTGCCGCCGTTCTACGTCCTCGTGTACGTCGACGACTTGGTCTTTGCTACTGCTGACACTGAGGGACTCGCCCACGTGAAGTCGGAGCTGCAGAAGAGACACACGTGCACAGACCTGGGTGAGCTGCGCAGCTATCTTGGCTTGCAGATCACCCGGGACAGAGCACAGCGCACCATTACCTTGACTCAGTCACACATGGTGCAGCAGGTCCTTCAGCACTTCGGCTTCACGTACTCCTCGCCACAGTCCACTCCTCTGCCTACTCGCCACTCGCTCTCAGCTCTGCCTTCGGATGAATATGTAGAGCCGAGTGGCCCGTATCCAGAGCTTGTGGGCTGCCTCATGTACCTGATGACCTGCACTCGACCTGACCTTGCATACCCTCTTAGCATCCTGGCACGCTATGTTGCTCCTGGGAGACACCGGAAGGAGCACATGGATGCCGCTAAGAGGGTGTTGCGCTACTTGTGCAGTACGTCGGGCATGGGGCTCGTGCTTGGAGGACGGGCTCGAGTTGTCCTCACTGGTCACGCAGACGCTTCCTGGGCTGACGACTTGGCTACGCAGCGATCGTCACAGGGTTACACTTTCAGCCTTGGCTCCGGCTCTGTTTCGTGGCGGTCTACCCGCTCGTCTTCTGTTCTCAGCTCCAGCTGTGAGGCTGAGATCTACGCAGGGGCCATGGCTGCACAGGAGTTACGTTGGCTCACCTACCTACTGACCGACCTGAGAGAGCCACCTCGTTCTCCTCCAGTTCTGTACGTCGACAACAAGGCCATGATTGCCTTGTGTCAGGAGCACAGACTGGAGCACAGAACGAAGCACATCGCTCTGCGCTACTTCCTTGCTCGAGAGTTGCAGCAGCGTGGTCAGCTTCGTCTTGCTTACGTGGCCACTCAGGCCAACACTGCTGATATCTTCACCAAGGCACTTCAGCCTTGTGATCATCAGCGTTTCTGTACTGTTCTAGGCCTTGTGCCCACTTGGCCTCACTTGCTCACTTCTTGACTTTGCTTGTACTGTGATCTCTATACTTATACCAGCATACTTACTCTTGCTAGGTTGTGATCACTTTACTGCTTGTTCTCCTTTAAATAACTCTGCATGTGAACTGGCCTTGTGGCCATTTGCTTGTGCTCAGAATGCGTGGTGACGTCGTGATCCACCCTGAGCTTGCTTTGCTTTTCTTGACTGGTCTTGTGACCTCTTTTTCTCTCCTACTTTGCCTATGGGGGTGTGTCAAACTTATATGCTATAGTCTATGTAGGCTGTAGTGGGGTAGCTCATATGGGGTACAACACTTTTAGGTTTTCCTACTTGTACCCACATTGCTGCTAGTTTCATCATTCCTCGTTCTATCTTTCCACAAACCCAAAATAGGGAGACAAGTAAATCATGTGTTTTAGCGCAAACTTAAACTAATCCGTGCATGTGGTGAAGATGCACGATCCTAAATATCCAGATGTGTACATAATGAACAAGCACAATATATAATATGGTAGTACGTTTAATAAGTGCATTCTTGCATTGTAGAATCTAGTAATACTGTTTAGATATGGGTTCTGAATTCATTTATTATTATGTATTGATACACGAAAGCGAAGCGCAATGCAATGTTGAATATTTACAAACCGCTGAATTTCCGAAGCGCAATGTTTCGATTCAATGTGCATTCGCGCCTCGGACGAATCGAAAATCAGACTGTAAACAGGGCGCGAAATTTCCGTGAGGGCGAAATCCAGCGCAATTTTTTTTCCGTTGGTGTTTCCACTGCTTCCTGCCTGAAATTTCTGTTCGACAACTTGCCAACCCGACCACAAAAAAGCCGGAAAGATTGTGATGCACGACAGAACTGCATGGTCTGACCGTGGAACTTGCTGGATAGACTCGCTGATGCATTGGAACAAGAATTTCGAGCACCAATCAAAACGATGAGACAGGAGACGTGAGATGAGAAATCCATTCCCTTCGCCTTAGTCACAGAGTATATTCTGGTCAGGCTCAACGCACCGACCGACCCCAACCCAAAAACGACCTCTCATATATGTTGAGCTGGTTTTCAAATTCCCCCATGTTCTGGCGGTTCCGTCAGCAAGCATTCGTATGGCTTGCGAGCTTCGTAAAAGGCTATCAGCTATTAGTGTAGTCAAATAATCAACCCCAATTTGGGATGGAGGAATCAAAATCGATATCTGAAGTTGTGAAACCCTCGAGCCGTGAAGGACACGCAAAAACTGGTCACCATCGAACTGAGGCGTAGACAGCAAGGTCCGGCACACACTGTTTTGCTCTCTACGAAGGGTTCTACCAAAAGTTTTCTCAAGCTCCAGTGGAGCAACAGAGCATTTTCAAACGCCGCGGCGAGATGCCCATACAACAACTTGTTCAGTAGCCCCATACAACACGCTGAGAATCTCTGCTCCGATCGTCGGAGCACATCATCTGTAGTTACAAGTTATCAACAATTTTGATTACGTAATAGTACTTTACTCTCCTCTGCTGGCAACCAACTAAGCTGAAACTCCGCATAACGTGTTTCTCCACTTCACGCCTGAGGTAATGCTGGTGTGATTGAGGCGCCGGCTCAGGCTGTTCGTGCCCTTGTTGGACTAACTCACAGACCTCACGCAAGTCGCGAAGGGGAACAACCTGTACAAGTTGGAACTTCCTGAACTTCAGCCTGAAGTTGGGTAATCTCGACAATGCCCAAGTTGAAGCCAACTCAGGCTCCCTCTTAGAATACAGCTAGTCCAAAGATACACAGAAGAAGAAGAAGAAGAAGAAGAAGAAGAAGAAGAAGAAGAAGAAGAAGAAGAAGAAGAAGAAGAAGAAGAAGAAGAAGAAGAAGAAGAAGAAGAAGAAGAAGAAGAAGAAGAAGAAGAAGAAGAAGAAGAAGAAGAAGAAGAAGAAGAAGAAGAAGAAGAAGAAGAAGAAGAAGAAGAAGAAGAAGAAGAAGAAGAAGAAGAAGAAGAAGAAGAAGAAGAAGAAGAAGAAGAAGAAGAAGAAGAAGAAGAAGAAGAAGAAGAAGAAGAAGAAGAAGAAGAAGAAGAAGAAGAAGAAGAAGAAGAAGAAGAAGAAGAAGAAGAAGAAGAAGAAGAAGAAGAAGAAGAAGAAGAAGAAGAAGAAGAAGAAGAAGAAGAAGAAGAAGGGAAGAAAGAAAGAAAGCAAGAAAGAAAGAAATACAAAAAGGAATAAAGAAAGTGAAAAAAAACACTTATTTTAAATATTTTCCAACGTCCAACAGGAGGCCACTGTGGAGCTCCATTAAAGGACATACCAGTGACGGCAGGAAGTGGCAATTAGGCAATTCATTGTTTGCTTTTAAGTCACATGGGTGCCCGAAACTTCCTGTACATTAATAAGACGGACCGTTATCAATAAATAAATAAATAAATAAAACCAACCTTTCCCATCCCTTTCCCCCTTTGCAGAATTTCTTGTGCCTATGGAGCATGGTCATGAGGCAGGTCGCTGAAAGAGACTCTCTTTCAGCCTCGGAGGCTGTGGTAGGATTGCAGCGACAGAGTGTCACAGTGCCACGAGAGCAGGTGCAGCAGAGGCAGACCATGCTAGCACAGCAAATGAAACAGCAGCAATTCGAGCAGCAGGGGATGCAACAGGGGCAGATGCCGCAGGGGCTGCCACAGCCGATGCAACAGCAACAGATGCCACAGCAGTTTCCATCCCCACAGCCCTACACAACACTTCAAGTTCCAGAGCTAGTACAGCCACTGGCACATATTCAACCAGCACTAGAACAAGGGGAGGCTGCTGTTGGTGCAAGGCCATTAGCATCTGGAGCCAGGGGCAGGACACTAACGCGCAACCGAAACTACAACCAGCAAGGAAAGTATCGGGGAGTGAGGAAGCGTGGGGCGTCAAGCTACATCGCAGAGATTAAAGATACCACTCATGGGGTCCGCAGGTGGCTGGGCACGTATTCAGCTGCAGAGGAGGCTGCTCGGGCGTTTGATGAAGCTGCTTTCAACATCAGAGGATCCAAGGCAAAGCTTAACTTTCCAGTAGAATTTATCGAGGAAGACAGAGGAAGTATGGATAGCAATCTTGCAGAGCTCGAGGCGGCCACCGCGGCGGCTAAGATGGAAACAGCAGGAAGGGAGGCTGGTGGTGAGAGTAGTGGCCTGGGGATGCTCAGGGATCAGGCATCTCTAGGAGGGGCTGGAGAGGGCAGTTCTCGTCGCGCTGGAGGGAAAGGGAAAGAAGCAGCACGTGATGAAGATGCTGCAGAAGGGAGATGGGTGGTAGTGGAGGTGTCCGAGATGAATTTGTTCGGCGAGGGAACAAGTAGGTCAGTGTCAGCGGCTGCTACAGAAACAGGTGTAGATTTAGGGGGAGGAGGGGGGGGGAGGAGGAGGAGGAGGAGGAGGAGGAGGAGGAGGAGGTGGTGGTGGTGGAGGAGGAGGAGGAGGTGGTGGTGGTGGTGGAGGAGGAGGAGGAGGAGGAGGAGGAGGAGGAGGAGGAGGAGGAGGAGGAGGAGGAGGAGGAGGAGGAAGAAGAAGAAAAAGAGGAAGAGGGAGAGCAGGAGGAGGAGCTGAAGCAAGAGTAGGAGGGGTATGTGGTGCAGCAGAGGCTTCAGCAGTCAGTAGAGCAGGACCAGCATACACCTCCGAAGGACCAGCATACACCCCTGAAGGACCAGCAAACACCCCTGAAGGACCAGCAAACACCCCTGAAGGACCAGCAAACACCCCTGAAGGACCAGAAAACACCCCTGAAGGACCAGCATACAACCCTGAAGGAAGCTCCACTGTCAACTGCAGCAGCTCAAGCAGAGCCGCCCCTTTCTCCTCTGCCCCATCCACCTCCTCTTCCACCTCGTCCTCGCTCCTACACTCTACCCTTCCTGCTACGTCTGCTCCTTCAACATCTGCCCTTTTCTTTCACTCCACTCATCCTTCTACCTCTTCCGCTTCCGCCTCTGCCTCTTTCCTACACCCCACCCTTCCTGTCAACTCGGCCCCTTTCACATCTGCCTCTTCCCTACACTCCACCCTTCCTGCTATGTATGTCGTTGAAAATGCACTAACCACCCTTCCGGTCCATGTCACGTGTCCAGCTTATACTGGTGTACTGCATAACTCAGCTGTCACACCAACCCTTGGTGGTGCTACCATGGGATGTTGTTCCAGCCAGCAGCGGGAGTCGTCGTGTGCTGGAGTTGGTGGGAGTGGGCTTCCGGGCTTTTATGTGCCAGGAGAAGATTCAGGCAGGTTTGAAGGGTTGGGATTCGACGGTGTGACAGCATGTGAAGGGGGGCAGTCCTATGCGTTTGCTGATTGGTTTCCTCACCAGCTCGTGGGGGTTGAAGAAGGCAATGCAATTGATGGAAGTGGGTTCAGTGCGGTGAAAGGCAAGAAGGGAGCGGAAGAATGGGAGATGTGTGCAGAGGAAAACATTGGTGGAAGCAGAGGGATCACCGGCAAGAAAGGGATGATGGAGGAGGAAAGTGTAATGCAGATGTGGAATCGACCCAGTATACGGGGGCCTCCAGGAATAGATGAGCATTTTGATGGCCTTGCTTCTCGTGATGAATGGGTGGCAAGTGAGCACTACTATCAGCTGCCTCACCTGGCGTATTGCGTATTTCTGGAGACCAGCGCCACTTCTCCACTAGTCAGCGAGACAAGTGCCTCACCTGGGGAAGGAGTCATACACATGTGTGCCGTGCTGCCGTGCTGCCGTGCTGCCGTGCTGCCGTGCTGCCTAGCTAGCCAACCAGCCCTCTCACCCGGGGAAGGAGTCATAGGCATATTGCGCAGTGCTGGAGACCAGGGCCACCCCCTCCGCTAGCCAGCGAGTCGAAAGATGAGGTGGGACAAGTGCATCAGCTGGGGAACAAGCCATACGCACACTGTGCCGTGCTGCCATGCAAGCAGCCCTCTCACCTGGGGAAGGAGTCATAGGCGTATTGCGCCGTGCTGGAGACCAGAGCCACTTCTCCCGGCAGCATCAGGCGAATGCTCGCCTCCAGCGCCTCTGGCAGCTGGTGGCGAGGGGAGGGAGGAGGGGGGCGAGCGGGCAGGAGATACGTGAGCCAGTGGGAATCTGATGAGCCTCGAATCAAGCATGCTGGAGACCAGGGCCACCTCTCCCAGATTTTTTTAGTCGACTCAAGTCAACTCAAGTCAACTCAAGTCAACTCAAAAACAGCATGCTGGAGACCAGAGCCACCTCTCCCAGAAGCATCAGGCGAATGCTCGCCTCCAGCGCCTCTGGCAGCTGGTGGTGATGGGGGGCCGCGGAGAGGGGGCAGGGCAGGACGTATGTGAGCGAGCGGGGATGCAATGTGCCTCAAGCCGCCAAGAATCATGGGCCTTATAAGAGCTTGAGGGTGGTAAACTGATCTTTCCACTCACCCTGCCTGCCCTCTCACTCACCCTGCCTTCCCACTCACCCTGCCTTCCCACTCACCCTGCCTTCCCACTCACCCTGCCTTCCCACTCACCCTGCCTTCCCACTCACCCTGCCTTCCCACTCACCCTGCCTTCCCAATCACCCTGCCTTCCCGCTTGTTGTTGCCGCTGCCGCCGCCGCTGCCGCTGCCGCTGCCGCTGCCGCTGCCGCTGCCGCTGCCACTGCCGCTCCCACAACACCAGCCACAGCAGCAAGAACAGCAGACAAAACGTTTGTTGTTGCCGTTCCCCCTGCCGCTGCCACTGCCGCTGCCGCTGCCGTTGCTACTGTCGCTGCCACAACACCAGCAGGAGCACCGGTTGCACCAGCGAGATTCACCTCTTGCAATTCCCGGCTCCACGCAACCCCAGCAATCCGCAGTTACCACACTTCTTCCTGAGACTGAGGCTAATGAAACCAGTCCTTCAAACCAAGGCTTGTCGAATCAGAGAACAATAGAGACGGAAGGACAGCAAGGAGGATCTATGGGTTTTGAAGGTAAATATGGTAGTGGTAACTGCACAATGCAAAGCATATCTGATGGTACAGCTAACTTGGTGTTTGAGAAGCGTCAGCAGCAGATATTTTTTACTAAGGGTGGTAACGAAAACTACATGATGCCAAGGTTTCCAGGAATGCAGGCAAACCAACAGAGCATGTCATTTCAGGAGCAGTCTGTAGTATCTGGTCCATCCTCACAACAGCATCAGCCAGGTCAACAAGGTCAATGGGGTCCATGCGGTCAACAGGGTCAACAGGGCCGAGGGGCAGGTGTGGGGATAGGTGTGGCAGCATCTGGTCCATCCTCACAACAGCATCAGCCAGGTCAACAAGGTCAATGGGGTCAATGGGGTCCACAGAGTCAACAGAGTCAACAGGGTCAACAGGGTCAACAGGGTCAACAGGACCAAGGGGCAGGTGTGGTGCTAGGTGCGGCAGCGGATCCGTCCAGTTTTTTGGGTGTGGAGCAGACTGGAACTCCTGTAGGACTCTCGGCACTGGCAGCAGGGCAGCAGGCGATGGCAGCAGGGCAGCAGGCGATGGCAGCAGGGCATCAAGCAATCGCAGCAGGGCAGCACGCAGTGACAGCAGGGCAGCACGCAGTGACAGGGGAACAAGCGGTGGCGGCAGGGCAACATGCAGTGACAGGAGAAGTTGCAGGCTCTAGGGGGTTCATTATTATGGTGCCTGAGGAAGTGGAGATGCCTGGTGGGGACGCATCCCTGCTAGAAGCAGAGGAGGCAGTTGAGGCCGTGGTGGTGGTGGAGGCGGTGCAGGTACCCAACATGGCAGGTTCAGCTTCAAGCATGCTTCCTAGCTGGCATGTTGAAACGATGCGGTATCCGGCTGTCATGATGCCCCCATTAATGCCGCTTGGCAGACATGGTCATGTCATGCGGTTTGCTTCTACCATGTCCCTTGGGTCTTCTGATGTTTTGAGTCCATACGTGCACCAGCTTCACCCGACTCAAGTGCAGCAGCAACAGCAGCAGCAACAGCAGCAGCAGCAGCAGCAGCAGCAGCAGCAGCAGCAGCAGCACCTCACGCCAAGCTTCCAGCGATGCAACTCTCTCGATCTGGCGTCTCGCAGGAGGGGCAAGGCGGCTGCACGGTGTGCTTCTGCAGGCCTCGTTCAGAAACGTCTGTTCATGGAGGGCAGTACAGAGCTGCAGACATTCAGGAGCCACATCCCAGCCTTGGAAAATGACAATCCAATCTCCAAGCTTTCCAGCCCTCCTTGGTGCGAGCCTCTACTCAAGCCTCATCACAGGCCTCAGTCCAAACCTTCGCTATTTCTCGGAGCCACAGTGTCTCTTTCCCCCTGAAGCCACCCGTCCTCAGTGCTTCAACCCCTGATTCCCAGCCCTGTGTGCACAGCACAGGTGGTGTTGGTGGCGTGAGTGGCGCAAGTGGTGCTGACGTTGCTTGTGATTCGGGTGTTGTGGGTCCTATGGGTGGCGTCTCTCCCGCAGGTGCAAGTGTGGGTAGTGGACGTGTTACCTGTGCTGCTGGTGCTGCCGGTGCAGCCGGTGATGCCGTTGCTTCTGGTGCTGCGTGCGATGTTGGTGCCACTGGTGCTGTTGGTGTTCTTGGTGCTCCTGGTGCTGCGTGTGTTGCTGATGTTGCTGGTGCTGGTGTTATCAGCGCTTCTGTTGCTGGTTCTGCCAGTGCTCCTGTTGTGGCAGGTGATTCTGGTGCTGCTGGTGGTGCTCATGTTACCAGTGCTGCAGGATTTGCCAGACCTGTTGGCGTTGTTGGTGTGGCTGGGCTTCCATCCAACCCACCCCATTCTCTCACAACAGAATCATATTTCCTCCTGCACAGGTTCAGACGATCTCGGTCGCATGATCAGGGACGAATTGGAGCGGGACAGCTGGACAGTGAAATTTTGCGTGCGAGAACGTACCAACCAGGAAAGGCAGCCAGAAATTACGCCCAAGGGTTACCGAATTATCTGGAAGAGCAACCACGGGTGGTGCATACTAGCAGGTTCAGACACGTGCCTTACGATTTGCATCACAAGCAGCCTAGCAGGTATGGCCACGTTTCCCCTCACCAGCAGCATCAGCAGATGCAGTGGAAAGAGGTGGAAGGGCAGCAGAGGCTGCGGCTGGTCGAACAGCAGATGGCGCAGCCACAGCAGCAGCAGCAGCAGCAGCAGCAGCAGCAGCAGCAGCAGCAGCAGCAGCAGCAGCAGCAGCAGCAGCAGCAGCAGCAGCAGCAGCAGCAGCAGCAGCAGCAGCAGCAGCAGCAGTCAGAGTTACAGCAGCAGTTGCAGTTTATGCAGCAACAAGAGCAGCTGCAGCAGCATCAGCAAGTCCCACTCACACCCTTCCAGCCAGCTCACCCAATCTGTATACGGTCTCTCCCCCCCATCAAAACACCTTTTGAGACGACCCGAGTCGCACCTCGCAGTCTGTTTCTTCCCCTTTTACCACCTGCTGCTATCACCTCCGCCTCTGTAGCCGCTGCTGCTCGCATTGCTGTTGGTGCTGCTGCCGGCTCTTCTGCCGCTGCCGGCGCTGCTGGCCACAATGCTGCTGGTGTTGCAGTCCTCACTCCCCTCGCCTCTCCTACCACCATCTTCCACAGTACTGCCAGATTTCCTCGATCCAGTCACTCAGAGCAAGGCGGTTTTAAAGCCTCGGATGATGACGCCTCTGGTAGAGCAACAATTCACAGTACTGAGAATGGTGGTGCTGGCAGCAGCAATGGAGATGTATTGATGCAGGAAGTCACAGCAGCAGGCTCTGGGGCTGTATACAGTAGCGGTGGTGCGGATCATTCTATAGCGGAGCACTCTATGGTGGAACAGCCTAGTGAGGAGGAGCAGCCTAGTTCGGACCAGCCTAGTCTGGACAAGTCTAGTGCGGAACAGCCTAGTTCGTCGGACCAGCCAAGTTCTGACCATCCTATTCTGGAAAGTCTCTGTGTTGACGAGCTGTGTGCTCTCCAGCATTACACCACGGCAGGTTTCGACCTTCCTCTGCCTGACCGCTCGGCAGATCGGTTGCTTTTAGAGGCTCAAGTCATACACCCCACTGCAGCTGCTGCTGCCGGGGACCTCGCCACCCCGTTCTCTTTATCGACAGGACAGCATGCTTCAGTTTTGAGAATTATGGCTGTTCCGTCCCCTTTATGGAGCTTTTGAGAGGAGCAGGAATGGGATTGGAGGTTGGGGGAGAGGCTGTGGATGCGGCAGGGTCGGCATGCAGGAGATAAGCAGCATTTGGGGGAAAATGCAACTGGAGGTGGAATCTACACAGTTGATCCGCTTATGATGTTCTTCATGAATGATGGGAAGGCCAGGGACTAAGCATAAGTGATGGGAAGCATGCACTATTTCAAATATATTATTTAAATATTTTTTATTATGTTAATGAATTGATAATACAGGTCACGGGAGATGGGGGACAGGTGATTGTGGATAGGGATGGTGGGAGGAGCGAGAAAACAGGTGCCATCCTTTCTTCCCAAAACCGCGGCAAAACGAATGAATATGCACCTCAGAATTGCCACCAAGGGTTGTTCCTCCTCTCACTACATCCCCACCTTTGAGCCGACGCAAACCAAGGCGACTTTTGAGCCAACGCAGAGGTCGCAATTGCGCAGAGGTCACGACTCACGTTTGCTGCCAAGCTAGGACAGTATGCTGTTGCTTTCACACGATCCCACTGTGCTCATGCAGGGATGGCGAACTGCCCCTGTGCTGTGCGGTGCGGTGCAGTGCAGTGCGGTGACATCATCATCATCTCGCTGTTCGTGGCGAGTGTGTAGAGCCCAGTCTCTAAGCAAAAACGGTGATTATGTGTGAAAGAGAACCAGCATCATCAATGCAAGAATGGTTCTGGATAAGAAAAAAAAATATAGAGCTCTTGAATAATTACATCAACACTGTTAAAATTTAACGTCGCACTCCTCCTCCTCCTTGCACCCTTGCACACCGAGCTGGGAGATTGCACAACGAGGGTGCGTGTGTATGGGCGGGGGAGGGGAGGGGGAAGAAGGTACCGGACGACAGGTAAGCCAGCAAAGGTGGATGAAACCAAAAAAAATATGAAGATGCAGATTGGGGCCGGTGATCGGGCTTTAAAACGCATGCGAGTTCTGACAAAAGCAGAAAGGAGATGCCTTGCTACACACGGAGAGCAAAGGGGCACGCATGCGAGAAGGGGGGGTGGGGGAGGGGGGGTGAGCAAGCACGGGTGGCAAGATGCCTGAGACAAGACCCAGCGAATGCAGGGCAGCAGTTCGACTTTTGAGTCGACTCAAAAGCAAGATGCCTGAGTTTCTCTGAAGACAAGACCCAGCGAATGCAGGGCAGCAGTTCGAGACGGGTTACTCTGCAGCCCACCTTGTTGCGTCTGCGCTCCTCTATCACAGCTTGCAACGACGGCCGGCCTGTGAAGAGCCCGATGCAGAGCATACATGCACACAGACATGCATGCACGCACGCACACAGACACGCACGCACGCACACACGCACACATACAAGCACACACGCACACACGCACACAGACAGGCACGCACACACGCACACAGACACGCACGCACGCACACACGCACAGACACGCACGCACGCACACACGCACACAGACACGCACGCACGCACACACGCACACAGACACGCACGCACGCACGCGCACAGACACGCATGCATGCAACCACACAGACACCCACGCACGCACGCCCGCACACACAGAGATGTAGGAGTATAAGCATGATAGGCACGAATAACCTATGAAGCACCTCAAAAGCAGACACATTCACCAACATCCCAGGATTTCAATATAGATGTATACGAAGCTGATGAGGTGCCTTAAAGAGAGATGTACGTTTAAACAGGCCAGGGCATAGCATGAGGTGCATGAGGTAAACACATAACTGCCATGCTCGAGTCTTGTGAGCAAGATCTGGCCTGCACTCACCTGAGAGTGGCAGGCGGTACTTGGCCCACACCTACCTGACAGTGGCAGGCGGTACTTGGCCCACACCTACCTGACAGTGGCAGGCGGTACTTGGCCCACACCTACCTGACAGTGGCAGGCGGTACTTGGCCCACACCTACCTGACAGTGGCAGGCGGTACTTGGCCCGCACCTCGTAGATCCCGTCTGCCAGAGCGCCGACCTGACACACAGCAGGTGGAGGGTGGAGAGTGGAGAGTGGGAGGGGAAGCACGTATGAGGCACCTCAAGACGCCAAGAGATTGAGCAGGACGGAGCAGCAATGGTGGTGGAGAGGTGAGCAATGGTGGCGGGACAGGAGGCATACCGGAGGGAGCTTGGTGATGGCATAGACCCACCCGAGGCCAACCGCCTCATAGAACTCACGAAAGGCCTGCGATTGGTTGGTGCGGGGCAGAGGAGAGGGAGGTAGGACTGTTTGAGGAAGGGCTGTTTAGGAAGGGAGACTCAGCACGCTAAAACCTGCACCCAACACCCACATCCCATCACCTCCACACCCACCTGCACCCTGCAATTTCTTACCTCCCCTCACAGTCACCTCCCCTCACAGTCACCTCCCCTCACACTGACCTCCTCCCCTCATACGCACCCCCCTCCATACCACACGCACTTGCCCCCCACACCTGCAGGCTGTACCCAGCACCTAGCCACACCCCCTGCACCCCTCTGCACCCCTCTGCACGCACCTCCACGCCTGTGACCACGCTGCCATCCCTTCGTATCCCGTGAATCGACCCCATAGCCGCCTCGTACGATACACCCGCATGCTCATCCGCGCTATAGTCACCCGCTGCTACGTCCACAAACTTGAGCGTGCCAAACTCTTTATTGCGACCCTGTAGGAAGTCCACCTGCAAAGGGGCAGGGGGGGACGGGCAGGGGGAGGGGCGGGGGGGAAGGTGCAGGGGGAGGGGCAGGGGGGGAAGGGCAGGGGGGAAGGGCAGGGGAGAAGGGCAGGGGAGAAGGGCAGGGGGGAAGGGCAGGGGAGAAGGGCAGGGGAGAAGGGCAGGGGAGAAGGGCAGGGGAGAAGGGCAGGGGGGAAGGGCAGGGGGGAAGGGCAGGGGAGAAGGGCAGGGGAGAAGGGCAGGGGGGAAGGGCAGGGGGGAAGGGCAGGGGAGAAGGGCAGGGGAGAAGGGCAGGGGGGAAGGGCAGGGGAGAAGGGCAGGGGAGAAGGGCAGGGGAGAAGGGCAGGGGAGAAGGGCAGGGGGGAAGGGCAGGGGGGAAGGGCAGGGGAGAAGGGCAGGGGGGAAGGGCAGGGGAGAAGGGCAGGGGAGAAGGGCAGGGGAGAAGGGCAGGGGAGAAGGGCAGGGGGGAAGGGCAGGGGGGAAGGGCAGGGGAGAAGGGCAGGGGGGAAGGGCAGGGTGAGAGTCATGTCACTCGCTGCTACGTCCACAAACTTGAGCGTGCCGAACTCCTTGTTGCGACCCTGTAGGAAGTCCACCTGAGGAAGGGGGAGAGGAGGAGGGGGGGGGGGGGGGGGAGAGTGAAAACACACACGGGACTCCCTTTCATGTGTTTCTGCCACCACCCATTCACACCCATTCACACCCACCCATCCCCCCTCTTCCAATCATCTCCCCCACATTCCCCACCTTCAACCCCCATCCGCCATGCGTCATTCGCCACCCTCACCCTTCCCCCCCATCCGCCATGCGCGCACACCCCCTTTCTCCTCTCCCCCCCCCATCCGCCCATGCGCGCACACCCCCTTTCTCCTCTCCCCCCCCCCATCCGCCCATGCGCGCACACCCCCTTTCTCCTCTCCCCCCCCCATCCGCCCATGCGCGCACACCCCCTTTCTCCTCTCCCCCCCCCATCCGCCCATTCGCGCACACCCCCTTTCTCCTCTCCCCCCCCCCATCCGCCCATGCGCACACCTCTCGCATGCAGATCGGGCAGTCGCCATCGTACAGCAGCTTCAGCTGCCACGTGTCGCCCTCGGGTTCGCCCGCCGTCGTCGCTTGCACGGGGCTTGCTGGGGGGCGTCGGCAGAAATGAGAGGAGGAAATGGGGAAACGGGGAGGGGGAGAGGGAGGGAAATGGGGAAATGGGGGAGGGGGAGAGGGGGGGGAGTGGGGAAATGGGGGAGGGGGAGAGGGGGGGGAGTGGGGAAATGGGGGAGGGGGCGAAGGGGATATGGGTGAGGTGAAGAAAGTGAAACATGGAAGGGAGAGATTGGGGAAGGGGGAGCGTGGAGGAATGGGGAAGGGAGAGGGGGAATGGGGAGGGTAGGAGGGGGGCAATGGCGGAGTGAGAGGGGAGTGAGGAAGTGGTAAGCGCTAGCGACGGGTGAGAACGACTCTACGTGACAGGTGAGCCACTAACCTTGGGCCGCCGCTTTTGAGAAACGACGCTTCTGCTGAAACGACGCTTATGAAAATTCTCTAAGGGAAGTACTAGAACCGCTAGCGGCGGGTGAGAAAGATTATACGTGACAGGTGAGCCACTGACCTTGGGCCGCCGGTCTGCTGAAACGACGGGGCCGCCTTCCAGTGTAGCCTGCAGCGCCATCATAGATGGGAGCAGCGCGCGCTGAGAGGGACGGCGCCGCGACACAGCGCGCCGCAGCTAGTAGTAAATTGGTTACATTGGAGGAGCCGCTACTTCTACCGTCGGAGCGCCTAGAGGAACTAGAACCAGTCGCAGCAAGCCGCAGAGGAGAAGGATCACGAGAGACGACGGCTGTGGTAACGCTTATAGAGGAAGTCGGCACTGTCGCGGCTCGGCTGAGCGCAGGACTTTGCGCGGGAAAAAGCGCCGCGACTGCTGGGCGGCATGCGGCGGTCGCGGCCGGCACGGAGATTCGCGCAAGTTGGAGTCGCGCGGTCGACGCGGAGGACACGGTGGCTGCCATGACGAAGACGTTACGAAATTAAAAAAACTTCGTGACGAAGACGTGTGTACCGTGGAAATCGAGTTATTCAGCCTCAGTTGTAATCGTACAAGAGTCCTTGACGTCACGAACGTGTGAATTCAGAGCCGAACAGTGCACTACTAGCTTTCGCAAGTTAGCGCACTAGGTTCTGAGGCAAGAATGTGCGCCTTTCGCGCGGCACGATGGCGTGAGCCGTGGTGAAGAATTCAGTTGAGAGAAACCAACGGACGGACGGGCCAAACGAATTGGTGTGCGTTGATTGGGTAACACGGGAGGAGATGAAGGGATCGCGTGGTGCCACGACAGCTCCAGAAAACCGTTCTAAGGCGGCCACGTCAGCGTGGATAATACGCGTTATGAGGCATTTAGGGGCCTCGCTTCAATTAGGCTTGAACTAACCAGCTATGTTCACCTGAGAAGTGTTTGCGTCCAACCCAATGTTTTGAAATACGCGTTAGAAGCCGTCAAATCCAGCTAAAAGTAAACCACTTTCTGGAGTTCACATTTTCCATTCGTGATCGGCCTCAGTGTCAGAACCCCCTCGTACCCTCCTCCCGTTATAAGAACCTCACGCAATGGAGGCTCTTTCTTCCCGCCAGCTATTCACGAGCCCGATCCCCCTTCGTTCCTATATTCGCGCCCGCGATACAGTCACATTCCGGCCGACATCACTTCCCGTGCTCTCGTCGCGCACCCGCTTTACAGTCACACCCACCGCCAGCGCTCTCGGCAACGGGGAGAAACCCCGCCAAGCGCGCAATTCCGCTCCGCCCTCCGCCGTTTCGCAATCCGCGGAGTCGCGCGCGCAGCAGGCAGGGGCGGCGGGCGCGGAGAAAGAGGAGCCGCTCCCCGTGTCGCATCTGACGGCGATCTCCCCCGTCGACGGGCGCTACGGCCGCCTGCCCGCGCTGCAGCGGCTCCGCCGCATTTTCAGCGAGTTTGGTCTGATTAAGTTCCGCGTGCTTGTGGAGGTACGTGATAGTAGAGGCGTGTTATTGTAGAGAGGGGCCGCATTAGAGGGGCACACATTGGCGATGCCTCTAAACTAGTATGATTCACCTCTTCCCCTCCGGTACCCCCTTCTTTCTCGCCTTGTAAGAAATTCTTCCCCGTTCCCCAGTCCTCCCCTCAACCCGTCCTCCCTAAACCGTCAACCCTCCAACCCCAACTTCCCTCCCCTCCCCCTTTTTCTTCTCCCCTTCCGTCCAGGTGCGGTGGCTGCAGCAGCTGTCGCGCATGCCCGAGGTGGTGGAGGTGCCGCTCCTCTCCCCCCAGGCCCATGCTGACTTAGACGCTGTTGTGACTGGTGGGTGGGGTGGGGAGAAGGAAGGAAGAGGGGAGTGAGGCAAAGGGAGGGAGAGGGGAACAAGGAGGGGTTGTTTGGTGGTGGAGGTGCCGGCGCTCTCCCCCCAGGCCCATGCTGATCTGGACGCTGTCGTGACAGGTGGGTGGGGCGGGGAGAGGGGAGTGGCATTTATGTCAGGGAAGAGGGGATTTGGGAGGGGGGGGAGTGGCAGGTGGGGGGCTGTGATCTATCGCAGAAGGTGGCGTGCTGTGCGGTGCTGCAGGGTGCAGCAAGGCAGATGCGCGGGAGGCAAACCGAGCCATTTGTAACCATTCTATAAAAACATTCTAGAGTTGATTGACTGAACAGTTGCACTGGGGTTGGGTGGTGTGCGGTGCTGCAGGGTTCAGCGAGGCGGACGCACAAGAGGTGAAGCGGGTGGAGGCGACAACCAACCACGATGTGAAGGCGGTGGAGTATTTCCTCAAGGCTAGGTTCCAGGACCACCCAGAGATCAGCCCGGTGAGTGACCAGTGGCCACTGCAGCGGCGGGCGCTTAGGGGGGGGGAGTGCATTGCATTGCAGGGGGGTCACCCCTCACAGTGTGATGTGAAGGCGGTGGAGTATTTCCTCAAGGCTAGGTTCCAGGACCACCCTGAGATTAGCCCGGTGAGTTCACTGACCGCCCTGGGATTAGCTCGGCAAAGACCGGGTGGAGTACTGACCGCCCTGGGATTAGCTCGCCAGGGGAGTACTTTCTCAAGGTTCCAGGACCACCCCGAGATCAGCCCGGTGAGTGGGCAGTGCAGCAGGGGAGCAGGGCAGTGCAAGGCAGTGGCGGGCAGGGCAGTGGCGGGCGAGTGGGGAGGGGCTGTATGATCTAGTGGAACGAGCACTCTGCATTGCTGTGGAGTGGTACTTTCCAAAGGCCTTCAAAGGCTCTAGGACCAGCTTGAGATCATCTCTCTCCTCTTCCCCCCACCTCTCGTCCATCTCTCCCCCACCACCTCTCAGATTCTTCAGTGTTCTTCCACTTGGCATGCACGTCAGAGGACATCAACAACCTCTCGCACGGCCTCATGCTGTTCCTTTTCCGCGTCCTCTCTCCCCATTCCCCTTTTCCCCCCCTCACCACTACCAGATTCTCGAGTTCTTTCACTTCGCGTGCACGTCAGAGGACATCAACAACCGGTCCCACGGCCTCATGCTGTCAGCAGCCGTGCCCTCCCCCTGTTACCCCCTCCTCTTCTGTCCGCACTCCCCCTGCTTCCCCACGTTCAGATTCTCGAGTTCTTCCACTTCGCGTGCACGTCAGAGGACATCAACAACCGGTCCCACGGCCTCATGCTGTCAGCCGCAGTGAAGGATGAGGTGCTACCTGGCAGGCTGAGATGAGACCCAACCACCCCTTCCCCCTTCCTCGCACCACCTGCAGATCCTGGAATTTTTCCACTTCGCGTGCACGTCAGAGGATATTAACAACCTCTCGCACGGCCTCATGCTGTCAGCCGCCGTGAAGGATGAGGTGCTGCCCGCCATGGATGGGGTCATCGCCACGCTCAAGGGCATGGCGCATAAGTATGCAGACCAGCCCATGCTGTCGCGCACCCACGGGCAGGTGAGTGACGGCACACGGGCAGGTGAGTGTGCCATGGGGGCTGATGAAGCAGGGCAGGGCGAGGTGCTGCCCGCCATGGATGGGGTGATTGCCACGCTCAAGGCCATGGCACACAAATACGCGGATCAACCCATGCTGTCCCGCACCCACGGACAGGTGAGCACACACAGACTGGCAAGTAGGCACGTACAAGTACCAGACACGGCAGCAGGCAGGCGTGAAGGATGAGGTGCTGCCCGCCATGGATGGGGTGATTGCCACGCTGAGGGGCATGGCGCACAAGTATGCAGAGCAGCCCATGCTGTCGCGCACCCACGGGCAGGTGAGGGCAAGTTGGAGGAGTGGCAGGCAGGCAGGCAGGCAGGCAGGCCAGTCAGTAGGCAGGTAGGAGAATAGGGGGGAGTATGAGGCACACAGCTAGAAGCAGTGAAGGATGAGGTGTTGCCCGCCATGGATGGGGTCATCGCCACGCTCAAGGGCATGGCACATAAGTATGCAGAGCAGCCCATGCTGTCGCGCTCGCACGGGCAGGTGAGGGCAAGTTGGAGGAGTGGCAGGCAGGCAGGCAGGCCGGTCAGTAGGCAGGTAGGAGAATAGGGGGGAGTATGAGGCACACAGCTAGAAGCAGTGAAGGATGAGGTGTTGCCCGCCATGGATGGGGTCATCGCCACGCTCAAGGGCATGGCACATAAGTATGCAGAGCAGCCCATGCTGTCGCGCTCGCACGGGCAGGTGAGGGCAAGTTGGAGGAGTGGCAGGCAGGCAGGCCGGTCAGTAGGCAGGTAGGAGAATAGGGGGGAGTATGAGGCACACAGCTAGAAGCAGTGAAGGATGAGGTGTTGCCCGCCATGGATGGGGTCATCGCCACGCTCAAGGGCATGGCACATAAGTATGCAGAGCAGCCCATGCTGTCGCGCTCGCACGGGCAGGTGAGGGCAAGTTGGAGGAGTGGCAGGCAGGCAGGCAGGCAGGCAGGCCGGTCAGTAGGCAGGTAGGAGAATAGGGGGGAGTATGAGGCACACAGCTAGAAGCAGTGAAGGATGAGGTGTTGCCCGCCATGGATGGGGTCATCGCCACGCTCAAGGGCATGGCACATAAGTATGCAGAGCAGCCCATGCTGTCACGCACACAGACTGGCAAGTAGGCATGTACAAGTACTAGACACGGCAGCAAGCAGCAGTGAAGGATGAGGTGCTGCCGGCCATGGATGGGGTGATTGCCACGCTCAAGGGCATGGCGCATAAGTATGCGGACCAGCCCATGCTGTCGCGCACCCACGGGCAGGTGAGGATTGCTGTAGGGCCAGGAAGGTGGAAGTCGTGTTTTGAGTCGACTCAAAACACGACTCAGATGAGGATTGCTGTAGGGTCAGGAAGGTGGAAGTCGTGTTTTGAGTCGACTCAAAACACGATTCAGGTGAGGATTGCTGTAGGGTCAGGAAGGTGGAAGTCAGCTAGCAGCAGTGAAGGATGAGGTGCTGCCGGCCATGGATGGGGTGATCGCCACGCTCAAGGCCATGGCGCATAAGTATGCAGAGCAGCCCATGCTGTCGCGCACCCACGGACAGGTGAGGGGTTGCTTAGATGCATGGCATGGAAAGGCATGGCATGGCATGGCATGGCATGCACCCACGGGTAGGTGAGTGAGGGGTTACTGTGTGGATGGGTGGATGAGCAAGGACTAGCATATGTGTGCAGGTGCAGCAGCACTCCCACCCCACACCTGCACTCACATGCCCAGCCCATGCTGTCCCACACCCACGCGAAGGTGAGGGGTGGGTGGCATGGTTGATGCTTTTCACCTGGGATCTCCTTGACTCATTCTTCAAAGGGCTGCAATAGTGAAGATGACGCTTAAGCAAAAGATCAACAGCAAAAATCAGTGTGGAAAGCGCAGAATTGAAAAACCCTTAGTCTCCGAAAAGCTGAGGGGTGGGTGGCATGGTTGATGTTTTTCACCTGGGTATCCACGTTCCCTATCAAGGGGGAAAAAAACAAACATCAACCATTCTCTCCTGTTTATCTCTCACTCTCTCCTATTTCTCATCACTCCCATTTCTTTCCTTGTTTTGCTTCTCCTCTATTTTGTCCTTTCCTCCAGACCGCTTCCCCCACAACGGTCGGCAAGGAGCTGGCAGTCTTCGCCGCCCGGCTGCAGGCGCAGCGGGATCAAATCTCCGCCGTCCAGATCCTCGGGAAGATGGCCGGCGCGGTGGGCAACTACAACGCCCACGTGGCAGCATACCCGGATGCTGATTGGTCGGCTGTGGCAGAGGAATTTGTGACGGGACTAGGGTTACGGCTGAACCCGTATGTGACGCAGATCGAACCGCATGACTATGTGGCGGAGCTGTTTGATGCCGTGTGCCGCTTCAACACCATACTGATTGACTTGGACCGGGATATGTGGGGATATATCTCGCTCGGTTATTTCCGCCAGGTGCGTAGGAGAACGGGGGGGCTGGTGGTTGTGGGCATGCATGTGTGAGAGAGTGTGTGTGCGAGAATTTTGAAGAGTGTGCGGGAAAGGGGTTGGGGTTACGGCTGAACCTGTATATGCAGCAGATCGAGCCGCATGACTATGTGGCGGAGCTGTTCGACGCCGTGTGCCGCTTCAACACTATTCTCATCGACCTGGACAGGGACATGTGGGGATACATCTCCCTCGGATACTTCCGCCAGGTGTGTGTGGCGTTTATATTTGGGGTGGGGCTGCTGGTCCTGCAGCAGAGCATGACTATGTGGCAATATTGAAATCACTTTTGAGAATTCTCAAAAGTGGTTTCACTATGTGACAGTGCTCTTTGATGCCGTGTGCCGCTTCAACACCTTTCTCATCAACACCTTCCTTCCTCTTGGCATTCTTTCTGCCATGTCGCGACATGTGGGGGTACATCTCCCTTGGCTATTTCCGCCAGGTGGGTATGGAGGGTGGGGGAGGGAGGGGCGGGGGGAGGTAGGGGGCAGAAGGGGGTGGGGGGTGTGGTTGGTTGCATGTGTGTGTGTTTGTGTCAGTGAGTGTGGGGGGGAGAAGGACATGAGGGTGGGGGATTGTGGCAGAGCAGCCTTGGGATTGTCTTTCCCACCCCAATTCATCCTCACTCCTCCCTTCTCTCTCCTCCCTTTGCCCCTTGTATTCCCCACCAGCGCCCTGTGAAGGGCGAGATCGGCTCCTCCACCATGCCGCACAAGGTGAACGGTGAACCCGATCGACTTTGAGAACAGCGGAGGCACCCTTTCCTACCCAACCCACCACCCCTCCCTCCTGTCATTCTTTCCCTCCCTCCCACCAGCGGCCTGTGAAGGGCGAGATCGGCTCGTCCACCATGCCCCACAAGGTGAACGGTGAACCCCATCGACTTTGAGAACAGCGGAGGCAGCCTTTCATCTCCATCCCTCTATACTCTCCTTCCCTCCCATGCCCATCTCATCCCCATCTCCTTCCCACCAGCGGCCTGTGAAGGGCGAGATCGGCTCGTCCACCATGCCGCACAAGGTGAACCCCATCGACTTTGAGAACAGCGAGGGCAACCTTGGGATTGCCAACGCCATCATGGGCCACCTGTCCGCCAAGCTGCCCATCTCACGCTGGCAGGTGAGGCGAGAGGTTGGCAGGGGTTGAGTGCGGTACTGGTCATGCTGACAGCGAGGCGAGGGCAACCTTGGGATTGCCAACGCCATCATCGGTCACCTGTCCGCCAAGCTGCCCATCTCGTGCTGGCAGATGAGAGGGGGGAGGGGGCGTGAGGTGAGGTGTTGGCAGGTGTTGAGTGCGGTACTGGTCATGCCGGCAGCGAGGGCAACCTTGGGATCGCCAACGCCATCATCGGTCACCTGTCTGCCAATGCCAAGCTGTCGATTTCACGCTGGCAGGTGAGAGGGGGACGTGCGAATTAGAGGGCTCGGTAGGTGTTGAGTGCGGTGCTGGCAGCGAGGGCAAGTGCGGTGCTAGCAGCGAGGGCAACCTTGGGATTGCCAACGCCATCATGGGCCATTTGTCTGCCAAGCTGCCCATCTCGCGCTGGCAGGTGAGAGGGGGGCGTGCGAATAAGTGAGTGGTTGGCAGGTGTTGAGTGCGGTACTGATCATGCTGGCACTGCAGACAACCTTGGGAGGGATTGCCAACGCCATCATGGTGGGTAGGTGAGAGGGGGGTAGGTGAGAGGGGGGTAGGTGAGAGGGAGATAGGTGAGAGGGTGTGGGTCATGGCTCAGCGTGACATGCTCCTCAATTTTGCGGAATTTGGGGGTGGACCCCACACCTCGCCCCACACCTCGCCCCATTCGTTGCACCTCTTTTTCCAGAGGCACCTGACAGATTCAATTGTTTTGTGTAACCTGGGGGGGATGGGTCTGGCGCACTCGCTCATCGCCTACAGCGGCACGGCCAAGGGGCTCTCCAAGGTTGATTCGGACGCTCTTCTCCCCTCACCCCCACCCGCCTGCCCCCCCCCTCGCCCGCCCCACTCCTTGTGCCATGCCCCAGAGGGACCTGACGGACTCAACAGTTCTGCGCAACCTGGGGGTGGGTCTGGCGCACTCCCTCATCGCCTACAGCAGCACGGCCAAGCGGCTCTCCAAGGTTGATTTGGACGCTTATCCCCCTCCTTCCCACTTGTCTACCATCCCGTCGCCCCACTGCTCGCGCCATGCCTCAGAGGGACCTGACGGACTCTACTGTTCTCCGTAATCTAGGGGTGGGTCTGGCGCACTCGCTCATCGCCTACAGCAGCACGGCCAAAGGGCTCTCCAAGGTTGATCTGGACGCTATCAGGATCGAGGCGGATTTGAACGACTCGTGGGAGGTGCTGGCAGAGCCCATTCAGACGGTGAGTGGTGGAGAGGGGTGGAAAGGGGTGTACGGGGGTTACGGATAGGGGCTGCAAGGATTGAAGCGGACTTGAACGACTCGTGGGAGGTGCTGGCAGAGCCCATTCAGACGGTGAGGAGAAGTGGGGGGGGAAGGGGAATTGAAGGGGTGGGCAAGGGGGGGAGGAAGAGAGGAAAGGGGGATTGTTGGAAGTGCTCGTCAATATGTATTGTGTCACAGTAAGACTTGCTCTGTTCCATATTCTCGTGGGAACCACCTTCATTATCCTTTTCTCCCGATCTTCTTCCTCCATCCTCCTCTCCCCTGCTGCCTCCTCCCAATTCCCAGGTGATGCGGCGCTACGGAGTTCCCAATGCTTACGAGCGCCTCAAGGAGGCAACGAGATGGCGGGGCAATGATAAGTGGATCTATATTCTTCTCAATGCCCTCCTCCCCCTTTTCCACTCTCCCCTCCCCGCCCTCCTCCCAACCAACCAGGTGATGCGGCGGTATGGAGTTCCCAATGCTTACGAGCGCCTCAAGGAGGCAACAAGAGGGAGATCGGTGACGCAATCAGATCTGATTGCGCTGATCGATTCCTTGGAGGGTGAAGTGCCTGACGAAGCCCGAGAGCAGATGAGACAAATGATGCCGGCCAGCTACGTGGGGCTTGCTGCCAGGCTGGCAAAGGAGGTGTAGACATTGGATGTGCATGCAGATGGAATGGAAGTGGTTGAATTAAGTGCTGACAGAGCGAGCAACTCATATAGTGTTGACAATTATCAACTTATAATTTAGCAGCGCAAGTCCAATTTTTTTCCTCTTATGCAGAAAGCATGCATAAGCTTAACGCGGATTTCAATGTGTGAAGTGATACAGCTGCTTGAAAGTTGAACTGGGGCAATGTGCTAGTTTGAAGTGTCTTGGTTTCCTGGGAGAAATGAGCTGCAGGGGAAGATGGACGTCCAACCATTAGGAAATGATTTTGCTTTTGTTCAATAGCAGTGACTCATTAAATAATTATTTACAAACGAGGATAATCCTCAACGTTTTCGAACGTTCTAATTCCCACCTACCTCCTCGCCACCAAGCCGCACTGATCAAGCCTCTGATTCGCCAGCCAATCTGCCAGATCGTTGGCCCAATCCAGAAGCACAGCTTCTCAGCTCCTGCTTCCCCGCTGTCGTCTCCGTTCACTTTTCTTCCACTACGTGAACAGAGTTTATATTCCCCTCTGCGTCTGTGTCGCCGCGGCCGTATTTTGAAACCACGCGGCGCTGCGTACGGTCATTAGCGCGCTCGAGGATACGCTTGAGGGAGTAGCATGCTGCTCTTCACTCGTTGATAAGTAGCTGGATATTCTTCCGCGCAGCGAGCCATGTACGAAGGTTTGCGACGGCTCGTGCTTTCGTAGCGACGTCGTCTCCCGCGGAGGTGCGTAGGGAAGACTTCTGGACAATAATCCGCTGTAGGCTTGGCAGGAGCATCGATAGTTCGCAATGTCGTCAACGTCGCACTCCATGTTCGTCAAAGCGATAGTAGTCAGGTCGCGATGCATGACCGCATCTGTCGCCACGCTGTTTTCGCCTAAAAGCTGGCGAAGGTTCCCGCCGATGAGCTCTAATACTCGCAGCGCGTAACACTTTCGCAAGGCCATCAGGTCGTCCTTCGCGAGCGCGCCGCAGTGGATTCGCAGGTACGCCAGCTCCCGCCAAGCGATAACCATCAGGTAAATCGCCTGTTTCGTTAGGCTATTTTTGCACAGGCACGCGAAACTGCGGACGCGACGGAATCCCGACGTCAGGTACCACATGGCTTTGTTTTCGAGATAGTTGAAGTTCCCCTTTTCACCATTCGATATAAGCTCGACGCTTTCGACATTGCTGCAGTAGAGACTGCACATTGAGAGGGGACAGCGGGGGAAGAGGGAGAACGAGGACAATGTTCCAGGTAAGCGCATGTAACAGAACAGCTCTATTGATATCGCACATATCGTGGTACGTGAGAATAACTGTAATTGTCATGTGCACTTTCGAACTGAAACGCGTCTACATTAAGGCGAACGCAAGAAACAAAAGATCAGAACTTTTGCTCACCTGACTATCCAGAGAACGCTGCAGATGGACGCTTCATTGCGGCTCGTGTCATCGCGATCACAGTCGATGACGATGCGCTTTAGCGACGGGCCGCACGCCATGATTATCGGGTGCAGCACGTGCAGCTCGCACCGCGGGTCGTCGATGTGAATCTCCTCCAAATGCGCGCATCGCGACGCGAGCTGCTCCACGCCCGCGCGCATGCTCCCGGGGCCTATGCGAAGCTTGGTCCAGAAAATCGGGTTGTAACAGAGGTTTCGCAACGATCGGTTCACGCACGCGAGTCGAGACAGGTCCCACGCCGTGGGCTGCGCGAGCTGGAGGATGTGGAGTAACAAATCTTCGCCGAGATCGCCAAGCGACGGGGCGGCGGACGTTGTCGGCATGGGCGGGGATTCCGCTTCGGGTGGAAGCGCGTTGAGGTCAACAAGGGGTTGCGCCCTCGCCCAAGCCTTGCGGACGCACACGCGTTTCGCGGGAGGAGAAGGAAGGTCTGATACATCGAAAGTGGTCGGCTGGAAGGCGTCACGCTCCACTTTCTTCGCCATGATATCGACTAAAACGGGAACACTGATGATACCCCTAACTTGAGAACGTGGCTGTGAAGCAAAGACGAACTCAGCAGAGATGGAACGCTGTGGACTTGGCTCGTGGACTTGGAAGACATTGCTCGACTTTGAGAAAAGCGGCCTATTTGTGTGGGTTGAGACGAATTCGCTGGATGCTCATTGCCCAACCAATGTGTCCTCTCCTCAGTCACACTCGTCTGGGCTTCGAATTCGATATCCCACCGTGGAACAGAATTGATGAGCAAGCTATCACCTGTCATGCCAGCTCCATTCATGAAGGCGCTGTAAAGTGATCTGGGACCCTGCCACCCGGCATTCATCACTAAGCAAATCGCAGTCTTCTGTGGACAACTAGCTATGTGCACCAGATTTGTGTTTTGCTACCAGGTGGGATGAGTGGTGGTGGTGCTCAAAACATCCATGAATGAAGATTCAGCCTGGCAAACTTGCGACGACAATTCTTTTACAGCCTGTACTTACATAAGTGGCAGTGCTCTCGCAATTGATTTGAATCGCCCGGCCATCGTGAAGCTGTGGCCAGCCCACAACGAAGTAGCCCCCGAAACATCTTTCGCCTGCCTTTCGCCACCACAAAGGTGGTCATTACACACAGACGCAGTTGTCGGCATCAGATTTCGGCTCCACCAGAGCTGGGCGCGGATATCCCAGCTAAACAGCAGCATCATGAAAAGCTATTTATCCACTGGCAAGTTCGTTGACAGTCGTGATTGTGTTATGGCGATGCTGGCTACAACGCTGGTGCAGTCGTGGACCAGTGAGTAAACGCGTTGTAAACGAGTTGATTTGATGAAGAATCAAATCATCAAGAAAATGACCGTGGCGTGTAGGAAACATGATTTAAAAATCTTTCTTGCCCGCAGAAGATCACCGATCATCCACGCACGAACGTGGAGTCCACGACCTTTTGGCTGTCACAGGATGTTGCCAGCGAAGCCGCCTCCTTTAGTGGGCTGTTCATCTGAATTGCAGTGCTGCCAAATGTGCCGCCTTTGGTATGCCTCGTTACAGTCGTAAATGTCAACATGCCTCTAAGAGTAATTATTTTCATAAGCAACGATCAAACAGCTGTTGCACTGCACACCCGTATCAACATTCGAACTGGGTCCGCAACATGGGAAGAGGGATCATCCGCGCAACCTTCCACACACACACGCACCGCACGATCGTCATTGACACACCCACACCGCGCACCAGCTGCATTCCCTGGTTCCCCGCATCTTCCCCCATTCCCCCAGACTAAACCCCAAATCACCTCCTTAGGGTTGATGCCTCCCGAGCCGCATGCCTTCCGGATGGGTTTTAGTTTTTTTTCTTGCCCGCGGGCAGATCGCTTCCGCGAGCACGCGGAAGCGGTCGCGGATTCGCCCGTGTTTTACTGTTCCTGCTCGTATGAACCTTTGAGTTCAGTTGGGTAGGGGGGGGGGACAAGGGGAAGGGAGGGCAAGAGAGGGGCGGAAGAACAAAGAGTGGCGGAAGGAAAGAGGGGGAGTTTTGGGAGGGGGTCACAGGTGACAGGAATGAACTGGCACAGCGAGTGTCCTGTCACAGGCTCACCCTGGGAATGACAGGAGGATGTTTGGGAGGCGTAGATTTCTTCAGACCTCGAGAATGTCGTGAGTCATAGGAGGATCTCTGGTCCCTCGCGGCTCGTCTGTTGACAGCTTCTAAGGCAGCCATTCTAATTCATCCAGCAAAAACGGTAAGCAGGGTGCATACGGATCGCGGCATTCCCGCTGCAAATTCTTGTTGTGACTGCTCGTGACAGGACTTCAAACTGAGCCGTTCGGCAGGGCGAAATGACTTCGGTGTTCTCCAAGTCGGCCTCGGGAGCTCCGCGAACGTCACCTCCTAAACCTCACCGTTTAGGAACCGAAGCTTCAGCCAATCACCGCACTGCTTTCTTTTTCGCGCACCGCGTCTGGCGGGACAGGCCATTTCTGGAGAATCTGGCCGGATGGAAGATCCCGGAACACGCAAGTGCATCTGCGGAAAATGCGCGACGCGTTTCGCCTTGATTGGCTAGAAATCGTGTCGCGGAAGCTACTCAGCAACTTACCGCACACCTGCTGAGACAAGTCTCCACGTGCCACGTCACATCAGGAAGGCACTCGTCGCTGGGCTGTAGTATACCGCAGCTGACTCTGCAGTTTTGATCGCTGAAAAAGCCACGCTGACTCGGCAGCGGAGGGGAGGTGTTACGCTGACTCAAAGGTTTCAGGTCTGCCACTTAGCAATGAGCCAGGTGTTGCATCCCACGTCCCTGCGTAGAATGCTGATGCGGGGTGCTAGACTCCTGGTGCTCCCGCTGATCCTCCCAGCCCACCGTGTCGGTCGCGTCACGCGTGTGCAACCTCATTCTCGCGCAGCCAGCGATGCGCTGGACTCTTTCCGCGAATCCGCTCCGCGGAACCATCCCGAAGTCAGCGTACGGAGCGCCAGCGCAGCGCCGGCTCGCGTGCCACCGATCTTGACGTGGACCGTCCAGCGCAACGCGAAGAGAGGAGTAATACCATTCGGGGGGGGGGGGGGGGGGGGAAGTGACTCTATTTCGATTCTATCGCAAGCGGGATTGCGCCTCATGAGGAAGAAATTCCTCCCGACGGCGTTTGGGTGCTTCCTTACGTCCGCCACACGTTTCTTGCCCCGAATGTGACTGCTCGGGGAGGCAAGAAGGGCGGGGGAAGCGGCACCTCCCGGAGGGGAGGGGAGTTGGGGTGGGTGGGGAAGGGGGGGGGGGGGGGGGGGGGAGAAGATTCAGGGTGGAAGAGGCACCTTCTCCAGGGGGATTTTTCCAGCTAATGCGGTCGGGGGAGCTAGCTTAAATGGCACTGTCTTACTCCGTCTCAATCCATCGCTTTCAATACCGCGATTCGCCCCGAGCGTCCGGACGCCAGACTTCAGGCTGTCATTCGTGACCCTCCCCTGTCTCACGATTCGTTACCCTCCCCTGTCTTGGAATATCGGCTGCTCGGGAGGCTCAGCGCTAGTTCGTGTGTTTTCAGCTAAACCGAGCTCGCCATTTGTCAAACCGTCGTGTTTTCAGAAAGCGACCTCTAATTCAATGATTCCTCCTGCGCCTACTGACGGTTTTTTCGTCGCCTCAAGACTCAGAACGCAACGTCTAATCCAAGCAGACTGACCTTCTAAGCAGCTGACTGACGGAGATAGGTTAGACTGGACTCTTCGCTGTAGATAGACCGACCTTGGCGCTGTCAGCGCGGTTCCTACACGCGGCCTCTTGGAGACCCGCCTCTAAGCTTGCTTGTTGCTGTTGGGAAATCTCAAAAGTGAAAGTTTCTTGCGAGCGACCTTGCTCGAACCTCTTCAGGCCCTCTTCATCAGGTTACAAGCTTGGGATAGGGACAGTTGCAGGAAGGGAGAAGGGGGATTGAGTGCTGAGAGGGAGGCTCTGGTCTGGAATAAGACAGCTCTGTTACACAGAGCGTGCTGTACAGTGCGTGTGTGAGTCTGGTGATGCCATGAACGGCGGAGTGAGCGGCAGTGTTACAGTCATGGCGCCTGGTGCTGCGACACGGAAGCTAGGAAGCTTGATGCTCGCTGGGAATGGCTGCTTTGGCCTTTCAAAAGAGATGAAACCGGATTGTGATGAACTGGGAGGGGAGAAGGGAAGCCATGGTGATGGTTATTGGGAGAGCTGCTGCAGCTGGGAGGGTGGTCGTGGGCGTGGGTCTGAGAATGAGAAGGAGAAGAGTGATAAGAACGAGAAGGGTCAGAAGAATGGCGAGACTGATAAGGGTGGCGGCGGTGGTGAGAGAAATGGGAGTGAGAATGACAAGAGTCACAAGACTGAGCTTGTAAAGAGTGAGAAGAATGAGAAGAGTGGGAATGAGAAGAATGAGAAGGAGGAAGTTCAACACGAGGCGACGATACCAATGGAGGAGGACTCGGCACCAGAGCCTGCTGCCAAGCATGCAACCAGCGGCAGTGGCGGTACAGAGGAAGCTTATAAGGGGGACGGCGCTGAGGCGATGCAAGTGGAGGAGGTGGGAGATGATGGGGGATTCAGGGGCATGGAGGAAGTGGCGAGCACACCGGAACTAGAGAGGGAGGTGAAGGGCGGAACCCAGACGTCTAGCAGCAGCAGTGATGGCATGCTGAGTCAGCAAGGGAGGGAACCATTGATGCTTGCCGGCTTGCTGAGTCATTGCTCGACGAACAAGGTGGCGATGGATGGCGAAGAGTTATCGCGCCGTAACAGTATCAGTTACCGGAACAGCGAATCCCCAGCGCATGGCGAGGGCGAGTGTGTGGGCAAAGGAGGTGCAGGAGAAGCAGGGAAAGAAGGGAAAGCAGGGGAAGCCGGGGGAGAGATGTATGACAAGGTGAATGCGGATGCACAGGCAGCAACAGCACATGCAGGAGACGCAGTGGCGGCGAGAGCAGCAACAGTAACAGCTGCAGCAGCACCATCAGCAGCAACACCAACAGCAATGCCAGCAGCACCAACAGCACCAATGGCACCACCAGTGGCAGCAATTGTACCAGCAGCAGCAAGCACGCGGGTGGTGAGCTGTGAGGAGCTGCAACGTCAGCTACAACCACTCCTGGCACACAAGACAGCCTCCTCCCCAAACCCCTCCCCTCGTTCCCTCCCCCGCTCCTCCGCCCACTCTCTGACCCGCCAGCACAAGCTGCCTATGAAGCGACCCTTCAATCACGCCCCTCTCGGTACGACTGCCGGTGGTGGTGCTGCTGGTGCTGCTGCTGCAGCTATTGGTTCTAATACCACTGGCCCAGCGCTAGTATCCATGACTGCTGCCCATCCGCCTCTCACGCCAACTGCTGCCTCTTCCTCCGCTCCTGCTGCTCCCCACTCTCTTCCTCCTCCTCCCCACACGCCCTCTGCAGCAACGTCCACAGCCCTGCCCGCCCTCCCCCCTCGCCCTGCCCCTCCGCCGCCCAGCCCTCTCTCCATCCCCATCGCCCTCTCCAGAGGTTTCCTCACCACCAGGCCGGCACAAGAAGACAAAGCAGGCCTAAACCCTAATCCCTCCTCTTCTCCTGCTTGGCGTCAGGCCGATCCGTTCAATCTCAGTGCTCCTTTCAGTCACACGAATCAATTGAATCACCACGTCGTGGGACAGGGGCAACACCAGCAGCAGCAGCAGCAGTCATATGCCATTCCTTTCCTGAAATCCCCCCAACCGTCCGCCCGATCACCCCTCTCCCCACCTTCCCCATTGCAACGTTTCTCCCCACTCCACCGCTCTTCAACCCTCAACCGCCCCTCCACTCTTCTCCACTCCTCCCCTCTCTCTCCTCCTTCCCCCCTCCACCGTTCTCCTCTCTTTCCTCCTTCCCCTCTCCACCGCTCTTCCCCTCTCACCCATCTCCACCACTCCTCACCTCCCACCACCCTTATAAACCACGAGCTCGCCCATTTCTTCTCTTTACCTGAGCTCGATGCCTCTATGCTACACAGTAACTCCTCTCCCTGCGTCTTGCCCCTCGACCTCTCCCCGAGCCTCTCCATGCCGAACCAGCTTGCGCCGAACCTGGACCACATGCCGAGCCTGAGCTTGCCACCCCCGGCAACAGGCTTGGGAGAAGGTGGGGAGGCTGGGCATGGGGCGTTGAGGCTGGAAGGGGGAAAGGTGACCAATGGAGGGGAAGTGGAGAGGATGGGGGAGGAACGAGAGAGGGTTTTAGGAGAGGAGGTGAGGAAGAGAGAAGACGAGGGCAGGGTGGAGGGAGAGGAGGGGGGGATGGAGTGTGATGGGGGTGATGGTGGCAACGGTGGTACTGATGGTGGTGATCAGAAGGGTGGCAGTATAGGTGGCGATATGGGCGATGTGGGTAATGGTGATGTGAGAAATGTGCGAGGAGGAGACATGATGACGTGTGGTGGAGCAGGGGTGCAAGATGAGTTGACAAACAGGAAGGAGGAAGGAGCGTTAACGGCAGCAGCCGCAGCACCCGCAGCATGTGTGAAGTCACCAGATACGGACACCCTGACAACGCCAACACCAGCAGCAGCAGCATCAGGATCAGCTGCAGCACCAGCAGCAACGGCAGCAACAGAATCACAAGCAGCACCAGCAGTACCACCAGCAGCAGCGACACCCACTGAAGCAGCTCCTGGGACGACTCAAAACCATCAGCAGCAGCAGCAGCAGCAGCAGCAGCAGCAGCAGCAGCAGCAGCAGCAGCAGCAGCAGCAGCAGCAGCAGCAGCAGCAGCATCTGTTTCCCCTGTCTGCGGCTGCTGCTACTGCTCTTGTTGCTGCTGGTGCTGGTGCTGCTGTTAGTGCTGTTGCTGGCGCTGGTGCTGGTACTGCTGTTGCAGCAAGTGCAGAGCAGCAGCAGCAGCAGCAGCAGCAGCAGCAGGTGGTAGGGAGAGTGGATCAACAGAGGGTCCAAGAGGAGAGGGAGAGGAACAAGGCCAGGTGGAAGGGGCTCATTGCATCTCATCCTCTTTATAAGCAGATGCTCAACGCACATGTGGCATGCCTTGAGGTACACCTCGTTTTTGTGTTCTCCCTGGTTCGCAACAACCACCTCCTCAGGTTTCTGTTGCACGCTTCGTGTGCCATGGTAACGAGGTGACTTTTGAGTCGACTCAAAAGTCAACAACCACCTCCTCAGGTTTTTGTCGCACGCTTCAGCTATGTCCGTTTCTGTTTTGTCTTCTGCATGCTGTCCTGCACAAAACAGAACTTCTGCTTCCCAGCTGTCCTCATGCTTGCCTTGTGACTTTCTCCTCCCCCAAATATCCCCGTGTTTCCCCCTTATCAGGTAGCAATGCCACTGGACCAGCTGCCACTGACTCAGCTGCAGATGCAGGTTCTGAGACGCCTCAAAACACATTTCCTCCTCGTCTCTTCCTCGGCCCGCACCCACTCTCTTACTTGTTTCCCTACTACCTCTTCCCCCCATCAGGTGGCCACGCCACTGGACCAGCTGCCGCTGATTCAAGTGCAGATGGAGCGAGCATGAGAACACATTCCCCTCCTCTCTTCCCCTCCACCCTTATACATGTTCCCCCCATCAGGTGGCGACGCCACTGGACCAGCTGCCGCTGATTCAGGTGCAGATGGAGCGAGTATGGGAACACATTCCCCTCCTCTCTTCCCCTCCACCCTTATACATGTTCTCCCCATCAGGTGGCGACGCCACTGGACCAGCTGCCGCTGATTCAAGTGCAGATGGAGCGAGCAGACCTCGTTGCCTCCACCTACACTCGCTTGCTCCACGCCTCCGCCCCCACCACCACCACCACCGCCACCGCTGCTGCTGCTCACGCTTCTGCTGGTGTTAACACCAACGGTACTGCTGATGCCTCTGCTAATGCCATCGGGCCTGCAAAATCAGGTGCTCCTGCTGTTGCTGGTTCTCCCTCTTCCACTCATACTGCCGCAGCAGCAGCAGCAGCAGCAGCAGGAGCAGCAGTAGCAGCAGCAGGAGGAGGAGCAGCAAGTGTGGCTGGTCAAAAGTTTTCTGCCAATGGGAACGTGCCATGTGGCGGTCAGGGGTTGGCGTCCGATACGGAAGAAGCTGAGCTGGACAACTTCATGGTGAGTCAGACATGACACGTGTGTGAGTTTGACGCGACACAGTTAAATCTGACACATGTGCTTGTGCTGATTGCAACGTGAGAGGTCTCTTGAAACAACTGGGCTGCAGTGACGAGCAGCTTCTGAGCACCTGAGGAGCACATTCAGGTGCCACTTTGAGAATTCTCATAAGCATTGTCAGTATACGTAACGAGAGGGATCCACAGCTTCACCACAGCTCCTCACGTTTCGATTCTTCTTTTTCTGGGGGCTCTGCACACAATCCAGATTCCTTTTCCTCATCCCTCCCCCCACTCTTGCCCTGGCCCACCTCACTCGAAACCAATCCAGGGTCAATTTGTGAAGCTTTCAAAGAGCAACTAGAGGAGCACATTCGGGTGCATGCCAGGGAAGCGGTTACCACATGCGCCCGGCTCAAGCATGCCGTTGCTGCTGCTGGCGGCGCTGCTGACAATCCACTCCCTCCCCCCCTTACTCCTCCAACCCCCCATGAACCAATCCAGGGTCAGTTTGTGAAGCTGCTGCGGGCATTCAAGGAGCAACTGGAGGAGCACATTCGAGTGCACGCCAGGGAAGCGGTTACCACCTGCGCCCGGCTCAAGCATGCCGTTGCTGCTGCTGGCAACACTGCTGCTGACAAGCTCGCTGCTTCTGGGGCCACCATGTCGGACGATGGAGGGGTGGGAGGGGGTAGGCCCAGCAGCAATGGGGGCATTAGAGCCTTGGAGGATGCATGCAACAGCCATGGGAATGGGCACACGCATGGGTATAATAATAGTCATGGCAGTGGGTACAACAGCCAAGGGAATGGATATACCAGGCATGGTCAGGGGCTGTCTGAAAGCCATGGTCATGGGTGGAACGGTGCACTCAACCCGTTTGCCCCAGCTGCTACTGCTACTGCTGGTGGGGTTGGTGGTGGCAGTGGCGGTGGTGGTGGCAGCGGTGGGTGTAGCAGCATGTCAGGCTCGTTTCACTGTCAGCACCAGGGTTACTCGCAGCAGCAGCAGCAGCAATATCAGCAGCAGCAGAGTCAATCCATGCATGCGGCCAATCAGCCCCTCACCCTCCTCCCACTTCCTCCACCACAACCTACCATGGGCATGGGAGCACCCATGGCATTCGGGGCAATGCAGGGCATGGGGGCGCATGATAACATGGGGACACATAGCAGCATGGGCATGGGGATGGGTTCGGGCATGGGCATGGACATGACTGGGAGCATGGGCACGAGCATGAGCATGGGGATGGGGATGGGGATGGGGGGGCCACAGGACAGGAGTGCGGTGGAAGAGGCACTGCTCAAGGAATACGGCAGAGAGGTATGGTGATCCCAATCTTTTTCGTACTTTAGGATGGTTCAGAGTTGTGCCATCCTTGCAACACCTTGCATTTCTTGCAAATCCCATCCTTGAACATACTTCTATTGCCTCACAACACCTTGCAAATCCTTCCAACACCCTGCAACGCCTTTCAACTCCTTGCACTGTCCTCAGGGGTTCCGCGCTCGCCTGCTGGGAGTGAGGGAGGAGATCATGCGCAAGAGGCGTGCGGGGAAGCTTCCAGGAAACACCACGCAGGTGCTCAAGGCGTGGTGGAACGAGCACATCCAGTGGCCCTACCCTACGGTGCGTCCCCCTGCTTGCCACGTCAGCAAGATCAGCAAGACAGCATGCCACGTAACTTCTGCCATGTGTGCATGTTTGTGCGTGCACACATGCAACAGGACATGTGACGGACGCTGTATGACCGTGCAACACAAGTGTGCATGTACGTGTGGCTGTGCCGGTCCATCCATGTCCATCTTTGTAAATCTCTCTGCCTGTCTCTCTGCCTGTCTCTCTGCCTGTCTGTCTGTCCCCGCCCCTGTCTGTGTGCATGGGTACAGGAGGAGGAAAAGGTGGGGCTGATAGCGCAAACGGGCCTGGAGCATCAGCTCCATGCGTTGGTTGCGCTGGTTGCGCTGGTTACAGCAGGTGGACTACTGGTTCATCAACCAGCGCAAGCGCAACGCATGTGCTCACACCTATCTGTGCGTGTCTATCCCTCTGTCTGCCTGTCTCTGTCCATGTGCGTCAATACAGGAGGAGGAGAAGGCGGGGCTCATGGCACAGACGGGGCTGGAGCTGAAGCAGGTGAACAACTGGTTCATCAACCAGCGCAAGCGCAACTGGCACGGCAACCCCGCTGTCGCAGCGGCACAGCACAAAGGGCCCAAACAGGCCAAGCGCAAATGAGGGGGTGGGGCAGGAAGGGCAGAAAAGAGAGGAGATGGGGGATGAGGAATGGGGACTGGGAGGTGCGGGGTTGGGGGGGTGGGGGCGACACGGAAAGGGATGGGGAAAATCACAGTTGCGGCAGCAGCAGCAGCAGCAGCAGCAGCAGCAGCAGCGGGGGCGACAGTGGCGGCAATAGTGGTGCTCTTTCTCACTCTTAGCAACATTTCTCACATGCATACTACTACTTACTAACCAGGCTGACTGGTCTATGGATCCTTCTTGCTTCTTGCTGTAGTCTGGGTCTTGTGCTGCTGCTGGCTGTACGGTATATGTCTGTGGTGGTGGAGTCAAACTGGTAATAATTGGTTATTTGTACTGTGATGTATCAATGGGAAGGATTGGTGTTGTGTTATGCCAGCACTTCACCTATAACAAGATTGTTTGAGGAAAAGGCTGTCTTGGAAGACAGCCTCAGCATGTATTTTGACTTCCACGTATTCGCATTGCTTTCTGTACTGTGTGTGTGACTCTCTCCACCGTAGTGAACAACCGATTACCGTATGGTTTTCACCCGTTAGAAATTGAATGTCCTATTATGGCTCGGTCGGCTCGGCACGGTAATGAAACGACATCACATCACATGGTACCTCGTTATGAACATCACATGGTACCTCGTTATGAACATCACGAAGACATGCGGGGGTACAGAACGGAGTCGTAATGATGCAAGCAAACCACTTGCTATTGATACGAGGTGGACCGTGGAAAGCGTTACAGAATGAACTTGGACACATCAACCTTCTGCAACAAGTCACCCAGCGGCCGGCGAACATCCTGAGAGAGGAGCAGGGGAGTGTGGAAGCATGGGTGGTGGAGTCAAAGAGAATAGGCATGGAGTGGAGACAAATACGGTGGATCGGAGGCAAGGAGACAGGCCGTGAAAATTCAGAACAGAATAGAAGGGACAGCTCTTACGGTTCGACCTACACCAGCAGTTTTTTGGGCGAACATATAAAGCCAAACACAAGCCATAACTCAAGAAAACTTTGGAAAGCAAGCAGGCAGGCAGTGCACCTCTTGATCCACCACGCATGTCTCCCCCTTCTTCTCAGGCGCATGGAAGCTAATGTCCTCCACCACCCGCTCCAACACCTGCCGTGGTGCCAGGGGGGGGGTAAGCAAGGGGAAGCAAGGGCATGCAAGGGGTTGCAAGGCAATGGGGGAAGGTGAGCATAGGGGTTTGAGATGCTGCTAGCGCTCTCGGGCGCATGGAAGCTAATGTCCTCCACCACCCGCTCCAACACCTGCCGTGGTTCCATGGGGGGTTTCGCATGCAAAGGGATGCAAGGCGATGAGGGAAGGTGGGCATGACAGTAGGGCGCATCGATTCTCAGTGGAGAAGGCATGGAGTACCAGAGCTTAACTGGGGTGCATGCAGGGATGCAGGCATGCAGGGATGCAGGCATGCAGGGATGCAGGCATGCAAATCCCAGCAGAAAATGAAGACCACTCACAGCACAGCCCTCCCCGTCCAATACCCCGTTCCCATCGGTCCTCGCACTAAGTCTGACTCACCGTATGCAAACTCGCAATGAGACATGTCAACACCAATGTGTGTCCTATCACCCAGTCTCACCCAGTCTCACCCAGTCTCACCCAGCTACAATGAGTCCTACTCACCGTGTGCAACCTTCTTGCACCAATATTGTCCAACGTGTGATTGATCTGCGACCCATCCATCCACACATGCATACAAGCACACATGCATGCAAGCACACAAGCACACACGGGAGAGCACTCTTAAGCCCAGAATCGTTGCAAAATCCTGGGAACACCAAAGAGACTGTTTTCGAGTTGACAGGACATGACAGAGAATGGGAACACGCACACCAGAAGGCTGTGAGCAGGCTTGGTGAGGTAGGCGTACCAACGCACCTCACCAACCACAATGCAAGCAGCACCACAACCACACCTCAGCACCGCATGCCACACCTCAGCACCATGTGTGCGCATACCTCTGTGGCCATGGCAGGAGCTTCTCGAATGGCATCGTCTGTGAAGACAAGGTCAACGCCCTCCGTGGCCATCAGCAGCTGCAGCCTGCATGACACACCACAACCACCATGTGCTACCCCTCACACACCCTATACCGCACCTCAGCACCGGATGTCACACCCCAGCATCGCATGCTACACCTCAGAACCTACCTCAGCAGCCATGGCAGCAGCCTCCCTGATAGCGGAATCCGTGAAGACAAGCTCAACCCCCTCCGTGGCCATCAGCAGCTGCTGCTGCCGAATCATGTTCGCTTCAGGCTCCGTCAGAATGCGGTACAGATCCTGATGTGAGGGGGGAAGAGGAAGAGGGAAGGGGAGAGGAAGAGACATGTGACCCTCGTTTCTCAAAAGCACCTCTCGCCCCTCACTTGTGGGCAAAGCAAAGTTGTGGGCAAAGCAAAGCAAAAGCACCAATGTTGAGACTCCCCCACGCCCAACTCTCTGCCTGTCAGCATGTTGGAGGAGCGGCAGGTGGTGAAAGCACCTTCAACTTACCTCTGAAAGATCCCTTGACTCTCACCTCTCTGGTGAGCCCTTTGAGCTCCACGCGGATGGGCAGGCGCCCCTGCAGCTCTGCCAGCATGTCAGAGGGGCGGCAGGCGGTGAAAGCCCCTTCAGTGAAGTGTCAGCTAGTCTCCTCCCACGCTCACCTCTCTGGTAAGCCCTTTCAGTTCCACGCGGATGGGCAGGCGGCCCTGCAGCTCTGCCAGCATGTCGGATGGGCGGCAGGCGGTGAAAGCACCGCTGGCGATGAAGAGAATGTGGTCCGTGTTGACGTTGCCGTGCTTGGTGGATACCACACTGATGGGGGGAAGAGGGGGGGAAGAATGGGGGAACAGGGTTAAGGATGGCGGGCAGAGGGGCAGTAGAACGTGAATGCCCACTAGCGATGAAGGATGTGATCCGTGTTGACGTTGCCGTGCTTGGTGGATACCACACTGATGGGGGAGCGGAGTGTGGGCAGAAAGAGGAAGGATGCGGGAAGCAAGGGCCAGGATGGGGTCAGCTGTAGAGAAGCAGGTCGCACCTTCACTCACCCTTCATACAAAACCATGCCATGCATGCCATACGATGCATGTCATAGCCATACATAGCCATACATAGCCATACATAGCCATACATAGCCATACATAGCCATACATAGCCATACATAGCCATACATAGCCATACATAGCCATACATAGCCATACATAGCCATACATAGCCATACATAGCCATACATAGCCATACATAGCCATACATAGCCATGCATAGCCATGCATAGCCATACATAGCCATACATAGCCATACATAGCCATACATAGCCATACATAGCCATACATAGCCATACATAGCCATACATAGCCATACATAGCACACTGTACCATGTTGGGCAACAACCTGCCTTAAATAATGGACAGCATGCTTTACCAAACCATACCATACCGTACCCTACCCTACCAGGCATAACGCCCTACCTGCCCTCAATGATGGGCAGCAAGTCGCGCTGAACACCCTCAGCGCTAGCATCAGCATGCACGCCCCACCTACCTTTAACGTTAAACAGCCTGCCCCACCTACCTGCCCTCAATGATGGGCAGCAGGTCGCGCTGAACGCCCTCAGCGCTGGCATCAGCGCCATACATGCCACAGCCATTCTGCGCACATGGACTATGCACGATGCCATACTTACCTCCCTTCAAAACGATACCCCACCTACCTGCCCTCAATGATGGGCAGCAGGTCGCGCTGCACGCCCTCAGCGCTCGCGTCGGCACCGTGCCGCGTGTCGCTGGAATGCACAATCTTGTCTATCTCGTCTATGAACACGATGCCCTCTGACTCCGTTGCCTGCAGCATTGGGAGGACAGGGGAGCATGCACGGGGCATGGAGCACAGCACAGGGGCAGCAGAATCATCGCGTGTCGCTGGAATGCACGATCTTGTCAATCTCATCTATGAACACTATGCCCTCTGACTCCGTTGCCTGGGCAGGGGGGAAGGGAGCACAGGGGCACAGATCCCCGGGGAGGGAGGGGAAGGAGCATGGGGGCTGGAGAATCATCGTGTGTCGCTGGAATGAATGATCTTGTCAATCTCGTCTATGAACACTATGCCCTCCGACTCCGTTGCCTGGAGAATGGGGGGCATGCACGGGGCATGGAGCACAGCACAGAGGCAGGAGAATCATTGCGTTGCGTGTCGCTGGAATGAACGATCTTGTCAATCTCGTCTATGAACACTATGCCCTCTCTCTGACTCCGTTGCCTGAAGCACAGGTGAAGAGGGGAAACAAGCATGCATGGGGATGGGGCGCACAGGGGAAGGGGAACAAGCGATCTTGTCCATCTCGTTTTGAGACGTCTCAAAACTAGGGGAACAAGCGATCTTGTCCATCTCGTCGATGAACACTACGCCCTCTGACTCCGTTGCCTGCATAGGGTAGAGGGATGGGGAACGGGGCACGGGGAAATGGGCCTCCCACAGAAAAGGGCAGGTGAAAGAGGCACGGAGAATGGGAAATAGAGCATAGGTCACGGCAAAACCCTTCACCCACGGTCAACACTTCAACACACCTCTCTCCCCAGACCACATCGCTCCCCTCTCACCTGAATGGCGTCCTTCACGAGCGACTCGGACGACAGTCGCTTCTCCATCTCTGTGTCGGTCAGTTCCTTGTCTCCCCGCTCCCTGCACAGCTGCCAACATGCTTCGCCACCCTCGTCCCTCTTCCCTCTCACCTGGATAGCATCCTTCACGAGCGATTCAGACGACAGCCGCTTCTCCATCTCCGCTTCTGTCAGTGCTGCCCTCGCCTCATCTACTGTCAAATGCTTCACTCCCCTTCGTGCAATCACCAAAACCCACTCCCCTCTCACCTGAATGGCGTCCTTCACAAGCGACTCGGACGACAGCCGCTTCTCCATCTCTGTGTCGGTCAGTTCCTTCTCTCCCCGCTCCCTGCACAGCTGCCAACATGCT